TTTCCCTGGGAGGGTGGGGAGGCGGCCTGGTACAGAGAGGCTGTGGCTGCCCCATCCCTGCAAGTGGCCAAGGCCAGGCTGGATGTCTTAATAGAAACTGTCCCTGCCTGTGGCAGGGGATGGAAGGAGATGATCCCTGAGATCTTTTCCAACCCAAACCACTCCAGGATCCCCGGATGATTCCACACTCTCTCTCTGCATTTATTTGGCCGATGGCCGCGGGAGAGGCAGAAGAGCGGCCGCGCCCACCCGCCGCGCCCAGATTACCCCGGGGACGATCTCCGTCGGATCTGCCGCCGTGGGTCGCTTGCGGGGGGTGAAGGCGGCGGCGCAGCCCCGACAGCATCTCCAGGGCACGGCGGGACCGAGCGGGGCGGGGGCGGGAGCGGGAGCGGGGGCGGGAGCGGAGCGGAGCGTAGCGGAATGGGGCGGGCGGGCAGCGCGGCGTGAGCGCCTGGGATCCTCGCGCTCCGCCGCGCGCCGCGGCGCCGAGACGGGGCTGCACACGCCGGTGCCTGCCGCCGCCCACGAACCTGCCGCCCGCGCCCGGCGCCGCCGAGCGCCCCGCCCCGTCCCCACAGCGGGAAGCGGCGCGGCGAGACGGCGCTGCGGGCGCGGGGCGGGGGTCCGGGTCGCGGCGGAGGTCAGGCAACAGGATAGACGCCTCTCTGAGGCAGGGGGCCTCTCTCCGCCATCTTTAGTGTGGCCTCGGCTAAGATCCGGTCGTGGCGGCGCCATCTTGAGTGTGGCGTCAGGGCGAACTTCCGGACCGGGGCCGCCATCTTTAGTGTGGTCGTTCCGGTCCTGGCGGCGCCATCTTTACTGTGGGCTTGGCGGACTTCCGCGCCGGGGCCTTGGAGGACTTTCGGTCGCTCTCTACTTCCGGTGACCGAGTTTACCCAAATTAGCGTCCCTCCTCGCTAATTTCTGCGCTTTCACCCCAAAAAATCTTCATGTTATTCCCCCCACACGCACCCCGGGAGAGACGGGAGACCGCGAGTCCCGCCCTGCCGCCGGAACCGGCCCTTAACTCGAGCAGGGAGCCCTGCACCGGCACGAGAGCCACTGCGCATGCGTCGCCTGGCTGCCCTTACTTACCACGTGATCGCCGGCGTCTTGCCAACGACTGCGCACGCGCCGGCGTCGCCACCCTGGCTTCCCCCCCCACCCCGCCGCCCGACCGCCCGGCTTCGCTTTCTTACTGCGGCTCCCCCTCCACTTTTTCGGCTCCCTGGGGTTCCCTCACCCACATTTTGGGGTCCCCTTCTCACATTTTAGGGGTGATGACCCCGCAATTTACGGTTCGGGGGGGTGGGGGGGAGGAGAGGAAACGGGGTGCCCAAGAAGGGGTTTCTTTTTTTTTTTTTTTTCTCTTTTATTTCATTTTCATTTTATTTCCTTTTTAGGTTTTTTTGCCTTTTTTTATTTTATTTTGTTTTTTATATTTCCTTTTTTATTTCGTTTATTTTTTATTCTCTTTATTTTTCATTTTCTCTCCCAGTGCTCCCCAGTAACACCCAGTGCTCCTCAACAACCCCCAGTAACACCCACTGCTCCCCAAAAATTGACCCAAAACCGACCCAAATCACTCCAAAAGCTGACCCAAAACTGACCCCAAAAACTGACCCCAATGATCCCAAAAGCTGACCCAAAACTGACCCCAATCATCCCAAAAGCTGACCCAAAACTGACCCCAAAACCTGACCCAAATCATCCCAAAAGCTGACCCAAAACTGACCCCAATCACCCCAAACAGTGACCCCAAACTGACCCCAAAAACTGACCCAAATCATCCCAAAACCTGACCCAAAACTCTGCATTTATTTGGCACCATTTCCTCCCAGAAACAACATCTCCGATTTAGTTGATTGCTAAAGCCATCATTTTAAAACCATCTCAGGAATCAAAAGGCACTGGAAAACACACACAAATCATTCCTGCACCCACCAAATCATTAGGAATTGGAACCCCATTCCCTCATCTCTCTCCTTGTTCTTCTTGGCTGGAAAACCTGATGATCCCCACTGGTCTAGGGTTGATGGGGGTTTTTTGGGTGGTTGTTTTTGTGTTGTGGGGGGTGTTTGTGGTGTATTCGGATTTTTTAATGTATTTTAAATGATTTTTAATAAAAACTAATTTTATGTGCAATTCTATGATTGTCCACAAAATAGCAGCAGTTCGATTAATTTTCAGTTGCAATTGCGTTTTTCTTTCGGCAAGTAGCGCTGTTAAAAATTTCTTTCAATGCAATTTCTTTCGTCAGCAAGTAACGAAGTTATGAATCTTTTAAGCTGCAGTTCCTGTTTTCTATCGCCAGGAAACAGTATATCATATCAAATATATGTGCAATTCCTTCTCTGAGTCACCGGGTAGCAGTGTTGCTATGCGATTTTTTACTTATTGGATTTTTTTGTTTTATAACCGTATTTGTTGGTGTAGTTCTTTTGGGAAATCGGATAATTGGCTTGTAATTGCTGAGTGGTATGAAAATTTACTTGTGTAATTAGGCTCTTCTCCTGATTTTAGTTCTCTAGGCTCTTCTCCTAAGAGAATAAAAATCAGGAGAAGAGCCTAAAGAAAATGAAAATCAGGAGAAGAGCCTAAAAAAATTAAAATCAGGAGAAGATCCCATAAAATTAAAATCAGAAGAAGAGCCTAAGAAAATGAAAATCAGAAGAAAAACGTAAGAGAAATAAAATCAGGAGGAGAGCCTAAGAGAATTAAAATCAGGAGAAGAGCCTAAAAGAATTAAAATCAGGAGAAGAACACAAGAGAATTAAAATCAGGAGAAGAGCCTAAAAAAATTAAAATTAGGAGAAGAGAGTAAAAAAATTAAAATCAGGAGAAGAGCCAAAAAAAATGAAAATCAGGAGAAGAGCCTAAAAGAATTAAATTTAGGAGAAGAGAGTAAAAAAATAAAAATCAGGAGAAGAGCCTAAAATAATTAAAATTAGGAGAAGAGCCTAAAAAATAAAAATCAGGAGAACAGCCCAAGAGAATTAAAATCAGGAGAAGAACCTAAGAGAATTAAAATCAGGGGAAGAGCCTAACAGAAATAAAATCAGGAGAAGAGCCTAAAAAATGAAAATCAGGAGAAAAGCCATAAACGGAAAATCAGGAGAGAGCCTAAAAAAATAAAAACCAGGAGAAGAGCCTAAGAGAATTAAAATCAGGAGAAGAGCCTAAAAAAATGAAAATCAGGACAAGAGCCTAAAAGAATTAAAATTAGGAGAAGAGTCTTAAAAAAATAAAAATCAGGAGAAGAGCCTTAAAAAATAAAAATCAGGAGAAGAGCCTAAAATAATGAAAATCAGGAGAGGAGCCTAAAAAATTAAAATCAGGAGAAGACCCCAAGAGAATTAAAATTTAGGAGAAGAGCCTAAAAAAATTATAATCAGGAGAAGAGCCTAAGAGAAATAAAATCAGGAGAAGAGCCTAAGAGAATTAAAATCAAGAGAAGAATATAAAAAATGAAACTCAGGAGAAGAGCCTTAAAAAATGAAAATCAGGAGAAGAGCCTAAAAAAATAAAATAAGGAGGAGAGCCTAAAAGAAATAAAATAAGGAGGAGAGCCTAAGAGAATTAAAATCAGGAGAAGAGCCTAAAAGAATTAAAATTAGGAGAAGAGCCTAAAAATTAAAAATCATGAGAACAGCTCAACACAATTAAAATCAGGAGAAGAGCATAAAAAAATTAAAATTAGGAGAAGAGCCTAAAAAATGAAAATCAGGAGAAGAGCCTAAAAAAATTAAAATCAGGAGAAGAGCCATAAACTGCAAATCAGGAGAAGAGCCTAAAAAAATAAAAACCAGGAGAAGAGTTTTAAAAAAATAAAAATCAGGAGAAGAGCCTAAAAAAATAAAAATCAGGAGAAGAGCCTAAGAGAAATAAAATTTAGGAGAAGAACCTAAAAAAATTAAAATCAGGAGAAGAGCCTAAAAAATTAAAATCAGGAGAAGAGCCTTTAAAAAATGAAAATCAGGAGAAGAGCCTTAAAAAATGAAAATCAGGAGAAGAGCCTAAGAGAAATAAAATCCGGAGAAGAGCCTAAGAGAATTAAAATCGGGAGAGGAGCATAAAAAATTTAAAATCAGGAGAAGAGTCTAAAAAAATTAAAATCAGGAGAAGATCCCATAAAATAAAAATCAGGAGAAGATCCTAAAAAAAAAAAAATCAGGAGAAGAGCCTTAAAAAATTAAAATCGGGAGAAGAGCCTAAAAAAATTAAAATGAGGAGAAGAGTCTTAAAAAAATAAAAATCAGGAGAAGAAACTTAAAAAAATAAAAATCAGGAGAAGAGCCTAGAAGAAATAAATGCAGGAGAAGAGCCTAAAAAAATTAAAATCAGGAGAAGAGCCTTAAAAAATTAAAATCGGGAGAAGAGCCTAAAAAAATTAAAATCCGGAGAAGAGCCTAAAATAGAAAAAATCAGGAGAAAAGAAATAAAAAAATAAAAATCAGGAGAAGAGCCTAAAAAAAAAAATCAAGAGAACAGCCTAAAAAAATTAAAATGAGGAGAACAGCCAAAAAAATTAAAAATCAGGAGAAGACCCCAAGAGTATTAAAATCAGGAGAAGAGCCTAAGAGAATTAAAATCAGGAGAAGAGCCTAAGAGAATTAAAATCAGGAGAAGAGCCTAAAAAAATACAAATCAGGAGAAGAGCCTTAAAAAAATGAAAATCAGGAGAAGAGCCTAAGAGAATTAAAATCAGGAGAAGAGCCTAAAAGAATTAAAATTGGGAGAAGAGCCCAAGAGAATTAAAATCAGGAGAAGAACCCAAGAGAAGTAAAATCAGGAGAAGAGAGCAAGAGAAATAAAGGCAAGAAAAAAATAGAGGTTATTTCTAAAGCTGCAGTGCATCCTCGCTCCTCATGCTGCCTCCCCGACTCACCTCCAATGCCTGGACGCTTCCAGAAGTTACCCGGATGGCACCTGCCATCACTAAAGCTCAGTGCCTTGCTGCTCATCCTTTTAAAACTCGGAGATTGCAGACGAGGGCAGCTCAAGACGACCAATCTGAGTCAGTCGCGCCATCGTGAGGTGGTTCCTGCGGTCAGGACATTACTCTGAGTCAACTACGAGAAAAAAAACCATAACCAATATGTGAGTTGTGTGGCACGGGGCTCGAAACCCAGTGATCCCCCTACTCACCGGCACCAAGGTCCTGACCAGAGTCAGACACTGTGGCTGTCATCTTCTGGGATACCTGAGGGAGCGAGAGACAAAATTAGAGGGCATCTCTAAAGCTGCAGTGCATCCCCGCTCCTCCTGCTGCCTCCCCAACTCACCTACAAGGCTCCTCTCTCTTCAGCTGCTCCCAAGACCGCCCCTGCAAATGAAATGGGCAAATGCGCAAACACTCAGCTCTCAAACATTTAGGGATTGCTCACAAGGAAAGCCAAAAACCTCTAAACCCTAGACACTGCTTCCTACTCTACCCAGTCGCGACCCTATACACCCAAGCAGGGCATCACAAGACCATCCTGCTCACAGACTGGACAGCCATCGGCTCCACTGTCTAAGGGAACTGACATGTTGACGTCAGACTCCGAGCCATATTCCATCTACCCACTGATCCACGGAGCAAGGCAGAGCAAATCCAGGCTGACCACAAGTGAGACACCCCACACCTGTGACCACACACACCATGTGACACAAAACACGGACGAGACAAACGACGGGACACAGACCGCAACTGCTCTGCCCTGCACACAGGAATCCAATGATAAAAAGTAAGCCCTTCCTTTGATGCGTCCAAATAACCTGTCACAGGATACCCCCTGCACCGGAATAATTGCAAAAATCCCTCCAGGCCAGGCACAGACTTGCACCCACTCCCAACCCCTGGCTGGGTCTTTGCCCTGCACTTATCTTTCCGAGAGCAGGAGATGCCAATCCAGCTTTGATGCAGAGGAGGGGCACCTGGGCTGCCTCAGAGGTTCCTGCCATCGTCAGACTACTTGGAGCCAACTGCGAGAAAGAAAACCATAAGAAAACCATAAGAAAACCAGACACCAGATCTGAGCAGTTTGACACGTGGCCCCCGCCCCGATCATCCCTCTGGGATGATCATTTCCGACTGGGGGAACTCGGGAGGGAGCAGGGAGGGACTGCAAAGTGACTGGGATGGGAATGGGATGCACAGGGGAAAGGAGCACAACGCACTGGGGAGGAACTGGGGCAGTGGGGAGGGACTGGGATGGGACTGGGGACACTTCAAGGGGGTTGAAAGCACTGGGTGCGACTAGAGGCACTGGGCTGAGACTAGGGGCACTGGAGAGGGACTGGGGGTAGTAGGGAGGGACTGGGATGGGACTGAGGGCACTGGAGATGCTCCCAGTCCCACCCCAGTGCCCCCATTCTCATCCCAGTCCCTTCCCACTTCTCTCAGTGCAAGCCAGTGCACCCATTCCTTCCCTAGTGTCCTCCTGCAGTGCAACCCAGTCCTTCCCCAGTTTGCCCAGTCCCAGCCCAGTCCTTTCCCACTGCCCCCAGTCCCATCCCAATTCCCTCCCCAGTGATCCCAGTCCCCTCCCAGTGGTACCCCAGGGTGTCCTAGTGCCTCCCCAGTGCCTCTCAGTCCTATCCCAGTGCCTCCAGTCCCTCCCCAGAGAATCCCCGTCCTAGCCCTGTTCCCCCAAGCGCCCCCAGGACCTCTCCAGTGCCCTCAGTTGTACTGGGAAGGGACTGGGAATCACTTAGGAGGGACTGGGATGGGACTAGGCAAGCTGGGGAAGGACTGGGTTGAACTGCAGGAGGACACTTGGGAGGGAAAGGAGGTGGTGGGTTGCAGTGGGGGAAGTGGGGAGGGACTGGGATGAGAGTGGGGGCACAGGGGTGGGACTGGGAGCACTGGTGGCACTGGGCTAGGACTGGGGGAACTGGGGAGGGAGCAGGGAGGGACGGCGAGGGGGCTGGGAAGGGAACTGGGATGGTACTGGGATGGGAATGGGATGCATGGGAGAAAGGAGCGGAATGCAGTGGGGAGGGACTGGGAGCAACGGGAAAGCCACTGCAGGGACTGGGATTGGACTGGGGAGGGACTGCAAGAGGACTGTGACAGGACTGGGGAGTGGGCCTGGCATGGGACTGGGATGCACAGGGGGAAAGAACCGGGATGCCCTGGGGAGGGACTGAGGTCACGGGAGGGCTGGGGATGGGTCAGGGGCACTGGGGAGGGAACTGGGATGGGACTTGGATGTTCTAGGGAGGGAGTGGGATGCATCGGGGAAAAGGACTGGCATGCACTGGGAGGGACTGGGGGCAGTGGGGAGGGATGGGGATGGGACTGGGGACACTGGAGAGGGACTGGGGGCACTGGGGGGATTTGGGCTGGGAGTGGGGGCACTGGGGTGGGACTGGGAGCACTGGTGGCACTGGGCTAGGACTGGGGGAACTGGGGAGGGAGCAGGGAGGGACTGCGAAGTGACTGGGATGGGAATGGGATGCACAGGGGAAAGGAGCACAACGCACTGGGGAGGGACTGGGGGCAGTGGGGAGGGACTGGGATGGGACTGGGGACACTTCACGGGGGTTGGATGCACTGGGTGCGACTAGAGGCACTGGGCTGAGACTAGGGGCACTGGAGAGGGACTGGGGGTAGTAGGGAGGGACTGGGATGGGACAGAGGGCACTGGAGATGGACTGGGGAGAACTGGGCTGGCACTGGGGGCACTGGACTGCAACTGGGATTCTCAGGGGAGGGAGTGGGGAAAGTGGGATGGGACAGGGGTCATTGGGGAGGGATTGGGGACAGTGGGACTACAGGCACTGGGATGGGACTGAGGTCAGTGGGGAGGGAACTGGGATGGGACTGGGAGCACTGGGAAAGGGACTGCAGGGACTGGGATAGGACTGGGAAGGGACTGCAAGGGGACTGTGAGAGGACTGGGGAGGGGACTGGAGAGCGTGCCTGGGATGGGCCTGAGAATGTCTGGGGAGAGACTGGGACCACTGGGATGGGACTGCTGTCACTGGGATGGGATGCAGTTGTCCTGGGAAGGGACTGGGGAGGGACTGGGAATGACTTAGGAGGGAGTGGGCTGGGACTGGGCAAACTGGGGAAGGACTGGGTTGCACTGCAGGAGGACACTTGGGAGGGAAAGGAGGTGGTGGGTTGCAGTGGGGGAAGTGGGGAGGGACTGGGATGAGAGTGGGGGCACAGGGGTGGGACTGGGAGCACTGGTGGCACTGGGCTAGGACTGGGGGAAGTGGGGAGGGAGCAGGGAGGGACGGCGAGGGGGCTGGGAAGGGATCTGGGATGGTACTGGGATGGGAATGGGATGCATGGGAGAAAGGAGCGGAATGCAGTGGGGAGGGACTGGGAGCAACGGGAAAGCCACTGCAGGGACTGGCATTGGACTGGGGAGGGACTGCAAGAGGACTGTGGCAGGACTGGGGAGTGGGCCTGGCATGGGACTGGGATGCCCAGGGGGAAAGAACCGGGATGCCCTGGGGAGGGACTGAGGTCACGGGAGGGCTGGGGATGGGGTCAGGAGCACTGGGGAGGGAACTGGGATGGGACTTGGATGTTCTAGGGAGGGAGTGGGCTGCATCGGGGAAAAGGACTGGCATGCACTGGGAGGCACTGGGGGCAGTGGGGAGGGACTGGGGGCCCTGGGAGGATTTGGGCTGGGAGTAAGGACACTGGGGTGGGACTGAGAATTTCGGGGGGCGGGGGGGGACGACTGGGAGCACTGGGATGGGAGTGGGGGTCATTGGGGAGGGACTGGGGAACCGTGGGACTGGGGGCACTGGGATAGGAGTGAGATGCACTGGGGAGGGACTGGGCCGGGACTGAGGGCACTGGAGAGGCCCTGGGGGCACCTGGGGGAACTGGGCTGGGACTGGGATTCTCTAGGGAGGGACTGGAGGCACTGGGATAGGACTGAGAGGCACTGGGGAGGCACTAGGACACCCTGGGGCACCACTGGGAGGGGACTGGGATCACTGGGGAGGGAATTGGGATGGGACTGGGGGCAGTGGGAAAGGCCTGGGCTGGGACTGGGCAAACTGGGGAAGGACTGAGTTGCACTGCAGGAGGACACTTGGGAAGGAATGGGTGCGCTGGCTTGCACTGAGAGAAGTGGGAAGGGACTGGGATGAGAGTGGGGGCACTGGGGTGGGACCGGGAGCACTGGTGGCACTGGGCTAGGACTGGGGGAACTGGGGAGGGAGCAGGGAGGGACGGCGAGGGGGCTGGGAAGGGAACTGGGATGGTACTGGGATGGGAATGGGATGCATGGGAGAAAGGAGCGGAATGCAGTGGGGAGGGACTGGGAGCAACGGGAAAGCCACTGCAGGGACTGGGATTGGACTGGGGAGGGACTGCAAGAGGACTGTGACAGGACTGGGGAGTGGGCCTGGCATGGGACTGGGATGCACAGGGGGAAAGAACCGGGATGCCCTGGGGAGGGACTGAGGTCACGGGAGGGCTGGGGATGGGTCAGGGGCACTGGGGAGGGAACTGGGATGGGACTTGGATGTTCTAGGGAGGGAGTGGGATGCATCGGGGAAAAGGACTGACATGTACTGGGAGGGACTGGGGGCAGTGGGGAGGGATGGGGATGGGACTGGGGACACTGGAGAGGGACTGGGGGCACTGGGGGGATTTGGGCTGGGAGTGGGGGCACTGGGGTGGGACTGGGAGCACTGGTGGCACTGGGCTAGGACTGGGGGAACTGGGGAGGGAGCAGGGAGGGACTGCGAAGTGACTGGGATGGGAATGGGATGCACAGGGAAAAGGAGCACAACGCACTGGGGAGGGACTGGGGGCAGTGGGGAGGGACTGGGATGGGACTGGGGACACTTCACGGGGGTTGGATGCACTGGGTGCGACTAGGGGCACTGGGCTGAGACTAGGGGCACTGGAGAGGGACTGGGGGTAGTAGGGAGGGACTGGGATGGGACGGAGGGCACTGGAGATGGACTGGGGAGAACTGGGCTGGCACTGGGGGCACTGGACTGCAACTGGGATTCTCAGGGGAGGGACTGGGGAAAGTGGGATGGGACAGGGGTCATTGGGGAGGGATTGGGGACAGTGGGACTACAGGCACTGGGATGGGACTGAGGTCAGTGGGGAGGGAACTGGGATGGGACTGGGAGCACTGGGAAAGGGACTGCAGGGACTGGGATAGGACTGGGAAGGGACTGCAAGGGGACTGTGAGAGGACTGGGGAGGGGACTGGAGAGCGTGCCTGGGATGGGCCTGAGAATCTCTGGGGAGAGACTGGGACCACTGGGATGGGACTGCTGTCACTGGGATGGGATGCAGTTGTCCTGGGAAGGGACTGGGGAGGGACTGGGAATG